GGTCTCTTCCAACCAAATTGATTCTGTAAATCTATGAAACCAAAGGACTGCAGTAGGAAGCACTGATTATGGTGCATCTGTACAGAACTAACCCCAGCCTTTTCTTTTTGGTCAGTTTGTTATTCCTCTGCTTGTGTCATCACAAGTAATTTTTACCCGCTTAAAAATATTTACATTTAAAGAAAGAACAAACAAAAAAGCTTTTTTCCCCCTTAAATTATAGGCATATCTTTCAAGCTCTGACAGAGCTGCTCACCACATGAACTCAGGCACTGATTACCACCTCAGTTTTCTTAGCCAGTGAGAGCTGCAAATCTCAGATGCGTTGCCTGTCCAGCTGGGTCGCTGTAAAGATGCACATGCAGGCTACCAGTCCAATTTCCTCAGCCATCCTTGGACCAAAGGTTTAGTGATTGGAAGGCAAATACTCAGTTATCATTACATAATGTGATGTGCGTCCTGGACGTTTTACGGTGTGCACAGAGAAAGATCTGGTATCTCTGCCCTTCTGTGTTGTTATCAACTTCTCAATTTTCATTCAGTCATTGTTAAGGCCGTTTCTGCTTCTAGTATGCTAGTAAAAATACTATCTTATCTTCTTTAACTTTGACAGTCATAAAATGTTGTCCTTGAGTCACTTTACTCCCTTGCTCATTTTATACACTTTCTGCCATTTAATATGCAGGTAATCACTATCAGCTCATCCCACATATTCACCAATTATTTTTACAGCAGCCTTTTTTGTATCCATGTGTGGTTGCCTTCCTTGAATGCCATTCTTTGACAGTTTAGTAAAATGTTCCTTATCTATTGCCAGCAATCAGTATCACTTCTTCTTCAATCCTGTCACTTCAGTTTTTTATTGTATATTCTCATTTTAGTGTCTATATTACTGGCAGGGGCTTTATTCCAGTTTTGTTTAACAGGATCAGTTTCAGTGCTGCTTTCGTAGGTTTTATCAGCTCTAGTCCCAAAGAGCAGGGAGAACAGGCTAGTTCGCATGAGTGTATCGCTGAGGTCTCACACTGCTGCTGCATGCGTAGCTGTGCCTTGAGCCCATGTCTTGCAGGTCAGGCTAAGGATTCGGACTCGTGTCCCACAGCCAAGGCAGTGCCTGCGCTCCTGCTGTGCCAGGGGTGACAGCAGGCTGCTGGCAGCACATGCATGTCTCTTACCGAGCTTGGATTGCAACAGCTGCTTAATTTCCTGCCCCTTCCAATCCGGCTGTGCAGGCAGCAGCGTGTCCTGGTCGTCTGCGATGGCCTCAACACACCACTCAAAGAGGAAAATCTTCACTTGTCTCCAAAGACAGCTTGGCATTAAAAATCTTCCGTTTATCTTTCAGCTCTGCCATGAGAAGATCCCAGCAAACCTGCCCTACCTGTCCCGCTATTCCCCACAGGGATTAACTATTTAGCTGAAAACAGCAGCAAGCTTTTAACAATACATCTTCAGTAGCTGTAGGAATTGACACAGAGCATGCAGGAGAGAAGGAAGGAATTTGTTGGGAATTTGCTGTCTCTAAGCTGTGGGAAACTATAAACTTAGCCCATCCAACACAAGAGTAACATTCATTTTCTAGAACATTTGTGGCTCCTGGATGTACTCCATAAAAGAAAAGAACTAACATTTGTTTGCTGTTTATATTTGCAGGTAGAGAGCTGCACGTGTCATGACAGGGGGCTGAAAAGGGTGATAAACACCAGCAAGCAGTCCTAGAAGATGCAACACACCTCCAGTTTTTACTGAAGCCACTTAAGGCTCACGATGTCCTCCTTCACCAGGCTGTGCACCTTACAGAAGGATGACGTCAAACTTAAACCAGATGTTGAATTAAACTAAGAAACTATAAACAGGGATCATCAAAAGCAGGCAGAAGTGGAAAATTCCTAAAATGGGCATCCAAATTGTTGGGCTGATTGTGGTGAATCTTACATGATGTTGAACATGGCAGTAAGGCACCAGTATTTCATCCCAAGAGCCACAGGAAAAAAAAGAAATAAAAAAAAAATTTAAAAAGCTGTGTTCAGCAACTGTCTGTTTTCCAATGAATATTCTCTCTCCCAAGCAGTCTCATTTTGATTTAGGATTTAAAAACCCAATCAATAAACCTGTCGAGGAGAGACAGTAACTTTTCTTTTCCTCCCTATCTTTAAATTAGATGGGTGAGATCACTTTACACCTTGGACTCCATTGATTGCAGCAATGCTGCAAAGTTACAAACATTTCATTAGAGCGGCCCTTCGTGTGGCATTAGCTTGACTCTTCCAGCTCTTTTCTCCAACCACACACCGTGGCAGAGATGAATTTCTACCCCAAGGATATACTCGACACTGAGGCAGACTGCTGAGACTTACATATCCAAAATGTCCTTTTCTGGAACAGTTGTAGCAGTACACTAAAGCCGAGCGCTCAGAGTGCGAACCGGCTGACTTGATTGGTCCCGGCTTTGTCTGAAAGATAGAAATAGGCAAGAATTAGCTCTGGCAGTATTCCGAATGCTGAATGAAAAATAAATTAAAATTACATAAACATAATTTTATTATGCTTAAATCAATACATTCCTGCTTGCTGTTGGAATATTAAGTTTGAAAAAGAAGCAAGTGGCTCATATTACTGTAATTCTGCAGAGCAAGGTTCAGCCTGAGCATCAAAATGAGGTAGGAAGAGGCATCCACAGCATCTATTCCACCTGGCCATGTTATTTCAGCTCTGAATACAAGAAAATAGGCTGCAGATTTAGCCCTCTCTCCTCCTCCTTGTCTCCCAGCCCCCTCCCCCTCTCACAGATGCCCCACCATCCCCCGGGACGGACAGGGCCATCGGATATTACATCCACCAGCTGGATAGGCACATTTGTGTATTGCTGAACTAGTCTTGCTCAACACAATATGGCAAAGATCTGATGGAGTTATGGGGCCTTCACCCGCTGCATTCCCTAGCCTACACCTGCTTCCGACAGCAGTGCCCAGGAGCAGGCAAGCTGCAGGAGAACCTGCCCGTTCTTCCAAGAGAACGGGGCACCACCTCTGCTCCCAGCAAAGCAGACACGATGCTATGGTCCATAGCTGCTCTCGGGGCTTACATAGGGCAAAGGGAGATTTAGCACACTCCATCGAATTCAGGGGAACAGGCCACTCTTTTTCTTTTCCTTGTTTAGCACCACTAAGTGGAATACGTAGACATACGGTCTATTCCTTTACTTTTCACACGTGCAAGCACCTTCATCCCCTGGAGAAGTAACTGCCACAGAGCCCGTGCCTAGCCAGAGCAGGCACAGGTACGAGTAAGGGGTGCGTGAATTCTGGCGAAAAAGCAGCGTGACAAAAGAGTGACCTTGTTACTT